CACCTGGGCTGGGGTCAGACCCCCAGAAAATGTGCCTGGGGATGGGATGGGTATCAGGCCAGTGTCACACGGCATGCTCAGGCTGCAGCTGGTGTGGGAGCTGTGCCCCGCGCTGAGCCGGAGCCTTCCCCCTTGGCTGGGCTGCGCTGTGCCAGCAGCGAGGGTCTGAGAGCCGCCCTGGGCACCCTCCACTCATCCGGGCTGAACACCCCGGGGGGGGCCATCAGCACACACCAGGCTGGGGACAGCACTGTCCCCACCTCCGACGAGGAGCTGCGTCTGGCTCTGTCTGCCACTGCCCTGGCTGATGCCCCAGGGGTGCTTGCCACTCGATGTCCTGCCACCCCCACATGGGGGTGACGCGGTGGCTTTACGGGGGAGGCATCGTGCGCGGGCTTTGCATCCCCGCACCCCGTTCCTGCCTCCCCGCTGCTGCCAGCTCTGCTCTGCCAGGAGGTTTGGAGGGAGGGCTGAGGATAGGTATTGCTGCAAGAGTCTGCAGAGCTGATAATTATTTCTGGGGAAAAGATGCTGTGTTCTGACTTAAACGCTGACATGGGACTCGGAACATGTGTAATCTGGCTGACAGATGGCAAGTCAGAGAGGTGTGATTTATGATACAGCACAGTAGCTGAACAACCTTCTCTGCTTGTCAGGAGACGATACTTCCCAGCGCTGCGGTTGATGTTTCAATTGATGGTTTTCTCCGCGTGTCCCCTCAGCAGAGCGCGGGGACCTCCGGAGAGCCTTGGCAGGTGCCGGTGCATTCGCTGGGTCTGCCGAGCCCCGGCAGCGCCGATGCTGAGCTGCTGCAGAGATTCTACTTCTTATGGTTAGGTGGGCAGGTCACCCCAAATCCTGCCCAGGCTGGACCATGAGCCTCCCCGTGCAGTGGGACAGGCTGGGAGAGTGGTGCTGGCCTCGTCCCTGTCCCATGGTGGGGATGAAGCTGGCTCCAAGCAGCAGTGGCTCTCTGGGGCTGCCTGTCCCCCGGACTGGTACTGGTGGGAGAAGGCACAAAAATCTTGTCCATCAGTGAAGTGCACAAAAGAAGAGATGCTGACAGCTGTAGGGAACATGCCTTGCTCACACGGCCCCTCTGTGCCTCAGTTTCCCTGCCTCTACCTTAAGATCCCTATCACTGATCTTTCTCAAGGGACGGGGCAACTATTAGTGTGTGGAAAGCACCTGTGAAGTTAAAGTGTGGTCCCAGCAGCATCCCTGCCCCCATGTTAGAGGCTGACTGCTGCTGCCACCCGCAGAGCACAGACCCCTGGCACGATGCCCAGCAACACTATGGGAGCATCCTGACCCCAGGAGCACCCCAACCCCAGGAGCATCCCAGACCCAGAAGCATCCCAGCCCCAGAAGCATCCCAACTCCTGGAGCATCCCAGCCCCAGGAGCATCCCAAACCCAGAAGCATCCCAACCCCAGGAGCATCCCAGACCCAGAAGCATCCCAGCCCCAGAAGCATCCCAACTCCTGGAGCATCCCAGCCCCAGGAGCATCCCAAACCCAGAAGCATCCCAACTCCAGGAGCATCCCAACCCCAGGAGCATCCCGACCCTGGGAGCATCCCAATCCCAGAAGCATCCCAACCCCGGGAGCATCCCAACCCCAGGAGCATCCCAATGCCAGGAGCATCCCAACCCCAAGAGCATCCCAACCCTGGGAGCATCCCAACCCCAGGAACATCCCGACCCATGGAGCATACCAACCCCAGGAGCATCCCAATGCCAGGGGACTGGAGCAGCTCCAGCATGAGGAGCTCAGAGAAGCTGACCCACAAGTAGGGCCTCAGTGGGGCGAGGGGTGTGGGGCAGAGCAGGCTGCCAGCATCAGGCTGCGTTTGCCTGCGTGCAGCCACGGCAGAGCAGGTATGATTCATTCCCTCTTCTGCAGCACAGTTTATGTAAAGCAGCACTGTATAAATAGCCAGATGATATCGTAATATGCTCCTGACTTTCTAATTAGTGATGCTTCTGCTGGAGCTTTTGGGGCTGGCGGAGGTGAGAGCAGGCTGGTTCATTGCTGAGTGCTGAATGAGTTGCTGCCAGCTCTCAAGGGGGAGGTACCGGCCGGTCAGAGCAGTCACAGCCATCACCTTTAACCTGGCTGTGAGCAGCTGGAGGTGGTGGGTGAACCAGCTGGGTGATGGGTACTCTGGAAGGCTGGTCTGGGGGGTGAAAGCAGCCCCCAGCGTCACAATGTTCTTGGTCACCTTCTGGCTCATACATAGCCTGGCTCATCCCCCGCCCCTTGGGGTCGGGAAGATCCAGGCAGCATCCGCCCCGAGCTGGAGAGCATCGCTGTTGTCCCCATGCCTTCCCCTGTGATGCTGTGCCATGCGGACAGGCACAGCGAGGCTGTGTGTCACTGAGCGCTCAGGTGGCTTCTCGAGCCCCACCAGTGCACCCTGCCCCAGGGACTAACGTCCCTTCATCCCCAGCCCCATCAGCATGGCACCCCGTTTTCCCCCGCCAGCTCTTCTCAGCGGTTGCTGGTGGCTCTATCCAGTGGCTGCTCCTTCCCTGCTCAGGGCAGAAGGATGCATCCGGGGAACCTCCCAGGTGTGGAATTGTCCCAGTGGTGTTGATCGCAAGAGGCTCATACCGGCACAACCGAGGCTCTTGTCTGTCATGAGGGGTGGCTGCCTTCTTGCATCTGTGCGGTGGTTTGGAATTTCCCAGCCCCCCCATCCCTGCTGGGGACCAGTTTGAGAGGGGTGGCTGGAATGGTGCAGGGAGCATGGTGAGGATGGGGTGAGCATAGCAAACAGGACAGTCCCAAAATCTCCTGAGATCCACATCCCCAACATCCTGGCAGCTGGGGATGGAGCCCTCAGCCCTGCAGGGTGGCAGGAGCCTGTCCTGGGGGGGGGAAAACTGGGAAGCGTTGGGACTGCCACCACAGGAACAAACACCGCTTAGGAGGTGCTGTAGGAAGTCAGCAGCAACCGTTCACTCCACCCAGCCCCATCCCTGGGTCAGCCCCAAGGTCCACCCCACACCAGGGGCTGCTGCAGAGCATCAGCGGTCAGTGTGTACACCTCCCCAAACTGGGATTTTATTCCTTACAGCTGAGCTCTGACAGCAGCTGAAAGGCAAGGGGAGGTGAGGGATGGCGCTGGTGCGGGGCTCTGCTCCCTGGGCTTTCACACGGCGCCTGGATTGCTCCTCTTTGAACGCCTCTTCCTCCGGCTGCGAGCGGAGGAAAGCTGGCCTTTGGGTTTCTTGTTGGGTTGCTTTTAAGGCAAACCTCATCCTTTACATCAAAGTAGTATTTCTTCTCAAGAATGTAAAGAATGACCCTGGAAGGTCTGAGCGGCTCTTTCCCGGCGGTGAGCGGAGAGACGAGAGCCTTCTCCAGAAAGCTGTCTCCACCCTGTCCCCAGCAACAGCAATTCATAAGCTGAAAAATAAATCAATAACCAGAGTTAATGAAATGAAGATGTCTGTGTTTAAAATGTATCAGGAAAAAAACTGTTAGCTCGTCGGCGTTGGCTTAATTATTGTGAGGAAAGGCGGGGAGCTCTTGTTTCTGAGAAATACCTTCTTTTTTTCTTTCTTTTTTTGGAGGTATTTTGTTTGGTCGAAGCTTGTCAGGACTTGAGAAGAGAGAAGGATTGGCTTTAGCAATGTGTGTAGCTTCAAAGTCTCCCCCCAGGTCTGTCCCTTGTCTCCTGGGATCTCTGTCAAATGGCTCCTGTCCCCTTCACTGACCAGCCCGGGGCTGGCTGAGCGGCGTGAGCAGATCGTGGTGGCACAGGACCAAAGGAGGAAGAGAGGCAGCGGCCGTGCCGGTGTGCATGGCAGGGCCGGCAAACCGCACCAGTGCCACCAGCATGGTTGTGTGCCCAAGCCAGGGTGACCCAGCTCCCCAGGCTGCTCCCCCCTTGCTCCCACCTCTGCTCCCGGTGAATCAGCAGCAAGGGATGGGTTGTGGCGCTGGATTCGGCTGCAAGCCGGGGGTGCCTGCCCTTGGCACAGCAGGCACTGGAGTCACTGCATGCCGTGGGCTTGGAGATGGGGTAGTTGTGCCTGGGGCCAGCAGTTCTCTTCTGGAGACCTGAGAGCCTGGGGATGCTCTTCTCCCTGGTCACAGGAGCTGGGAGTGACGGTGGAGCATCCTGCCTGGTGGCACGGGGCTTTGGCAATGCAGACAGGTCCTGCGGCTGAACCCGTTTGCTCACAGGCATTTGTTTCCTCCTCTGAAACATCCCCAGTGTGGGTAGATTTCCATTTTCTCTTATCAGGAAAGCCATCCCACTGTTTGAGAGCCCTGGCCAGGAGCCACAGGGGCTCTGTGGCTTCTCGGAAGGAGCATGCGGCTGTGGACGAGGTCCACTTTGCTTCTCTCTGCTTCCCTGGCTGCCTGACCCCTCCCGGGCAGGTGCTGGAGGAGGTAGAAACAGCCGCATTTCTCCAGCCTTGGCCATCACAGTTGGCATTTGGGCAGAAGCATACAACCTAGGGAGGTGATTTTGCTGCAGCAGGAGCAGGACGCAGTGCTAACTCAGCCTGCCGGGCTCGCCGCTTTGGTTTCGCTAATAGCACTCCATGGACCTGTGCTGGTCCTGGCTTGCTGAAGCGATGCTAAACTTGCTGCTGCTCTGCTCCTTTCCCCCGAAGGTGGTGCTGCCCCATGCTGGTGCCGCTGACCCTCCCAGACCCCTCCTTTCAGCTCCGAGCATCACCTGGCTCCGTGCCGTGGAGCTGCCGCTGGGAGCCGGGGTGCTTCCGTGACATTAACGCCTTTCCTCTCCCCTTCCCCAGGTCGGAAAGCAGCCTCTCTAGATTTGCCCACCGCTTGTCGGTTAAGCAGAAGCAGGAGAAGAGAAGGAAAGCTGAGTATGCCTCGGCTGAGCTGTCTGCCTTCCGGCCCAGGTCTCTGAGCATTGAATGGTAAGAGCTGCAGGACAGGGCTGGGGGAAAGGAGCTCCTGCCTCTCCAGTCCCCCTCCTGTCCCCTGTCCCCACCGCTGCCACTCTCTGTCCCTGTCCAAGCAATGTTCCGTGGGGACAGCACCCCTTCAAACCC